TTCCATCTCTCACATTTGGCCTTCTTCTGCTACCACAAACGGGAAGTTTGGTAAAATTTTGATGTTCTGTGAGTGATGCAGTCGACGATGACAACTCATGGTCAGCAATCATGCGATAATTAACATTGATCTTTGCCTGTCAACACGTAGCAAAATATCTCAATTCTGCAATGTTTAACATTTAACGCAAATATCCCAAGCATTTTTCTCGACAAGTTCTTCGACTTCGTTGTTCAGTTAATCGATGTGCTTACTTTGTGGGCCTTTGGGTACAGCCAAATGAGGCTGCATAGAACTCCAACGCAACGCTCTTCACTAATAGTAACTTTCGGATCATCAGCAGAAGCCAATCTTTGCCCTCGTAAGGCAGTATGGCCCTATCTGCAAAATTCTGTGATCTCTTCTCTCGAATGACAGTAAGGTTTTTCATGGTCTGTTAATCATTAAAGCCCGTTTGTCGTGTATTCAGGCAACTCAGTCCTTTCGTCCTTTTACAAACCTAGAAAACAGGTGCCAGCCATTTTTTCGCAGAATACATCGTTTTTGCTCTTTGCTGGTGAGGATCCTTTATGGAAATCACGACGTAAATAAACAATCGGCATCCTAGTTAGCCGAAAGCTAAGGTGTTCGAACCTGGGTTGAAGTTAAAGTAAGAATTTTTCATCTGTGGCAGAGATGGTAATTTCCTTAGATCAGTTTCGAACATTTTTCCGAATTAGGTTTTTCTGCAGTTTTCCTAATTCGTAAGGTAAATACTGGAATACCTCTAAAAAAACCTGGTGAGGGTCTAGAACAAAAGAGATACAATAAATAAATAAACAAGAATAGTGTAGCGAATATTCCAGAAATTCCGATAGACATCGAGACGCCATGAAAGATTAGCCATCGGCGATGAAGTGAGTGATAAATAATATTTTAATATTATATAATATATTTTTATATATTATTAATTTATTATAATATTTTAACTGCTATAAATCAATTCATTTTAAGACTGTTATACATTTATTATTAATTAATTGTAAATAAATAAACCACATAATTTAATTTATGTTTCAGGTGTGGGATTGTGTTCTTTTAATTATATAGATGAAAACATTGTTATCTTATCCTCATCTCATTTTTACTTTAGATTAAACAAATCGAAGAAACATTGGAATTTTTACAGAACACGAGCCTATATTCCAAGGTGCGAACTTAATAAATTTTAACAACAAATAATTATAAATGTTATGTTGCATGGCTGGAGGTTTCTGACTTTAAACATGTCACTTTACTAGTAGTAGGGTACCAAGAACACACAAGAAGTACTCGACACTCGCACTGGACCGACGCGCATGATCCCGCCATTGTGTGTATGTGTGAGTAGTTGTTGGGTGTCCACAGCATCATCGTATTAAAATGGCAAGTTCGAAAATCATTTTTAATTTTCTGAAAATCAATTTGTATTTTCTTATCATTTTTTATTTTCTGAGAATCATTTTGTATTTGAATTTTTCTGAAAATCGTTTTTTTTAAAAGGTAGTTTTAAAGCTGGATTATCAGTATGCTCCCAATGAAACCTAGATGCATTTTATTAAGCGGTAGAGCAAAGCGATGTAAGCTTTATAGGGGAGTCCATGGTGTCCGTCTGTCCGGCTTTGTTTACTTCTACTAAGTGTATTAGTGAAAAAATATCTGTCATGTGTTGTGAGGATATTCTATGTCTTATTAAATAAAGCGAAGAATTTTTTAACTATTTTCCCAACTACCTAGGATATCTCCGAATACATAGTTAAGAGATTGTATGTCAATTTTAGAACACTCGGTATATGAGCATTCATAATATTAAAATAATCTCGATTTTTATCTAAAGATAATAATTTGCTTTTTTTATCTTTACCTAGATAAAACAAAAGCATTTTTATCAAATCAAAGCGGGTAAACACGAAGTAAGAAGTATGATACGAGATGAGATACAGAGTGTCCAAGATAAGACTCATATGGTCGATTATCGAAGATGAAGTGAATGCCAAGGCCCAATTAAAAAACCTTACCCAAAAATCGGGTTGAGGAGCAAGGATCGACCTGCCTAAATTATGTCCCAGAGACTGGCACTGTCCAAGTGGCGTCACAAATGTTTATACATAGATGGTATTGTATTTGGGAAAACGTGTCCGATGCTATTAGATGCGGATGCAACGTAGACCATCGTAAGACCTCACCTGGTCCGGGAGACAAACTACAATCGTCAGAACTAAGACTGAAGACTGCAGCTGGTGATAAAGCTCTTGTGCTGGGAGAGCTGACCAAGTCGGTGAAGGTACCCGTGGTTGTTGTCTAAACTCACAGAAGGTTAACGTGGTTGTTGTCGAATGACCTTGCACTTGGCGCATGCGCAGGTCTCAAGAACTAGAATTAAATGCATTAAATAATTACCAACTAAATTTACAATAAGAAACCAGCTTTAAAAATGACAATCCAACGCATTTTTCCCATTCTGAGTCCTTTTGAAATAAAAAAAGTCCCAGGTCTTATGAAATTACTTGAATTACGCTGTATACAGGATGTCCCAACTACCATTTCCGATATTCCGAGCGAAATTACGTAAACAACATGTACCTACTTTTACTCTACAAGGTTACTCGCTTATATTCGGCATTGTTTCAACCTAGAGAAACGACAGCCCCTTGTAATTTATATGAGAATATAGTAAACTTTTGAAAAATAGAGATGCGCAAAGCATAAATTCTTCAAGAAGTAACCAACGGGTGCAGTTTTAAGGACCCACCTTATAGTCCCGATCTGGCAAATATAGATCAGAGTCAATATTTTATCCGAGAGACTGAAAAAAATTCTCCGGAAAATTTAGACCGAACAAAGTGGAAGGATTGAAGGAATCTTTTACTCAGAGTTCAATCCTTGGTATCCTAAATGGTTGAAAACACTTTTTATATAAAGTTATCTTTGCAAAAGCCCCCCTTCGTGCTTCGCCCTAAGAAACGGTAGAACAGATCTCTTGAGCAAAAATTGCTTCCGGATCCGATTTCGGCGACAAAGCAGACGCAATATTAGAATTTGCCTAAAAACGTCACTTTCTCGTTCAGCGAAACTTCTAATTGAATTTCTGAGTCCAATACGAACCACGTATCGACAAGTAAAAGTTTGTGCATGTTTTTCTCATGTTAATAATATAGAAAACCTCCAAATTATTTACAACAAATTTCCGCAGGTGAATTTTATAATAATATTCGCTTAAACGCCCTACAAAAACGCCATTATTGATCGACGGCGACTAAAATTAGCCTTTCCCAATTTAATTAGATTGGTTTTTCGAGCCCGATCTTATTGAAGAATTTACCTTGGGCAGGTACAACTGTAATTAAGTTTTATAAGCTCCAGTTAACATCTATCGGCTCGCAAAACGTTTGCGTGTCGCACAAGCTTTTTTTTCTCGAATTGTGAGAAGCAGGAAATTTATGAAGTGGATGGATCGCGGAAAGAAATCAAACGAGCATGTCCTCCATGTACGTAACTTATCAAGTACAAGCGAGAAGACGTTTACGGGCCAATTTTTTTTTAGATCCGCTTCAATTAATCAACGCAGAAGCCTATGCTAACTTATGAATATTTATAAGGGTGTGGTCTTGTTATGGATACAATTTGAAAATTGATTAGTACCTGATTAACATTTAATTTAACGATTAGAGCACCAGGAACGTATTATTCACCTACATCCTACAACTTTAAGTAAATACTCGAGTTATATATAGGAAGGAAAAGCTACAAGCGAACGAACGAAAAAATCGAATGTATGTATTATTATTCAGGTTGGTAGTAATCGGCGGGTGCTGCAGCCTCAGGCCAAGGCGGTGCCCCTTCGGAGATGCTGCCCTTCCTTTCACTGCACGTTACACAACGCGTTGCTTGTTCGCTATCATTGTTAGACCAGTTCTTGCAAATATTAATTACTACATTTAGCAACTACGCCGACTATTCAATTTAAATCCTTGATATTTATTTTTTGGATTTGACTTTTAAGAATTCAACTTTTTTATAAATAAAACGCATCAAACTAGTCCTCCAGATGAAATAAAGTTACAATTGAACACAGGTTTTTATTTATATTAATTTACGAGTGTAAAAATGACAACTTTCGAAATCGCACGACGTCGATTTCTAATTTGGAACACTGATGATATGCTTATTGAGTTATTGACCTATTTTATCCATAATTAGTTAATGATCGTTTGCCATTAGTTCTAAGAGAGTTAATACAATAATATTTGGCAACAAATGATACGCTCAGTTTGACTTACATAATACAGCACCTGCACAAACAAATTATTGTATCTGCACAAGGTAATGTTTTGACTTCTTCGTATTTCTTAAAGTTCGTGATGCTTGAACATTGAACATTTCTCACTCCCAACTCACTTTGCTTCCTTCCCGAGGGCTTTGTAGTGGTAGGACAAACGATTCTTTCATGTGTCCTGTGTAAAAGACCATGTTTAGAAACTAATTTTGATAATAAATTTCACCCTGTAAAATCCACAATGTTAAATTTGTTACGATGCAATTAATAAAGCGAAGGATATAGCGAGTGATTCATCAATTCAAGTAGCTTGACCATTTTCCGTTTGATTTGACTTGGAAACGAAGTACTTCAAAAGCTTTTACTTGAAGACGATGATGGGAAATGATAGTACAGATACAGACAGATAAACCCACATAACACAAGATAGCTTATGGATATCCATATTATGTGGAAAATATCCATATGATATCCAATCCATTTATATTATCTAGTGGATATCACATAGATATCTATGAAAGTCGATATCATATGGACATGGTCTAAGAAATCTTTAATACGATGAGCAAATCATTACAAATTAAGATTTTCGGATACCTAATGTTAGTAAATGAGAGTTTTTTTCAGTTATATGTAAAATGGCGTAATCGCTAGAAGATAACATTGTGGATATTCTTTGGATATCTAATGGTATTTCCATGTCCTTTATAATAACGTTGGCAACAGTGCTATGTGTTTTAAAGTAATTTGGTGACCCTGAAAACCTGACAACTGACATCAAATTTTCATAATGTTGTGGTTTTAGAAGCAAGTTATTCACAATCGGTACCATCGCTTTCATATGAAGGTATGTTTGGTATTTTCTATTTATTGTAGTACTTGTGACTCATTTATGTATCTACAGATTTTCAAAAACGAATATTCAAAGAAATACAGTCCATAAAAGTTGGATTTACCAAATTAGCACAAACTATTGAACAAAATAAATGTCGCTGTGAGAAGGAAGAAGAAATTGAACCAGACGATGCGCTAAAATATTTTCCTCTCAAGACCACTGTAAATGTGCAGAAAATGGAAAATATTTTAGACAAAAATGAATACAAAAACAGATTGGTGGGTAGTAACAAAAGTTAGAAGCAGTGATCAATCATTTTTTTTAAATTACTACGTTCAGTCGCATTGGTGGTCATAAAGTTGAGGAAATTACCAAACTAATCCTGCGCAAATTGTTCGTGGATGACCTGGCGCGGCAATATAGTTGGATGGGAGCCAAAAAGAAACTGGTTTTTTCCAATTTGAAGCTGTCAGATGTGATATTAAGTAAGATTTTCAAGGATGTAGTGTATTAGATATTAGCTATGGAATTCTTACAGAAGCTGTTCGAAAAAATACTGTGGGGAAAAATAGTACCGAAAAAGATATCATTGATAGCATAAAAAATTGGTTGCGTCATGCGGATGCCCGGAGTAAAAACCAGTACGTATGATCCTTTGACCGTGAACTATAACCATCTTGTTTATTTGTAGGAAACGTCACCAGGAAAATAGGTATGTAATACTATGCGCACAAATATATCTGTTCATAATTATTGTCACAGCTTGCCTACATTTTTTCAAAATCTATTTCATTTGTCTAAATTTTATGTTTTGTAATTACCAAAACAAAAGTGTATAATTGATCTGTTAGAATTATTTTATTTATACAGGGTGATTCCTATAGTACCTGCCACCGTTTGGGAGCGTATAGGGGGTGCCTAGGGGAGTATTTTGATATAGGACACTTGGGGTCGGAAATCTAAAATAAGGGCGCCAGAACCAAATTTATCTTCTGGAATTTCACGACTGTATGTAGGCAACCCAACCGACCGACGTTTCGCGCGGAGCGATGCAGAGCGAGTTAGCGCGAGGAAGCGACATGGGAGGGAAGGAGGGAAAACGACAGTCAAAAGCAATAACGTTTACAAGTGTTCAACGTGGCCACCGTTGTTCTCAATGCACTTCCTACATCTAGCCAACTATTATTATACTATTGCCATAGTGTTTATTCACTTGATACGCGTCGTTGCAGACGGGATTTCGTGGGTTTAAACAAAATTCTGATCAAGTGTCAGCCACACATCGCCGCCTGAGATCGCTCCGTGTGCACCGCCGGCCGGTTGGGTTGCCTACCTACAGGCGCGAAATTCCAGAAGGTAAATTTGGCTCTGGCACCCTTATTTTAGATTTCCGACCCCAAGTGTCCTATATCAAAATACTCCCCTACGCACCACCTACACGCTCCCAAACGGTGGCAGGTACTATAGGAATCACCCTGTATTTTGGATATACACTTACATTAATCCTTTTATCATGAAACGATTATACAAAGTTAAGTAATTAAATTTGGGTTAAAAATGTACAGGCATCCGCACATAAGAAGGCGAGAGATGACGCATACTCACTATTTATATTCTATTAATTGCACGCGCCACGAATTAGTTGGCTCCTCCTGCAGACATTAAATTGGTCATCTGCGCATAGCCCGTACTCACCCTCTTATATGCCGATACCTGTAGCTATAGTGTTTATGATTGCCGACACGTGCCACAATATAATTCAAATCTTACAGAACAAATAAGGAGAATAATGACGAAGTCCTGGAGGATGGGGCAGAAGTGGAGGAAGAGATACGAGATTCTGAGTAGTAATAAATTATATGTAGATACATTTTATTTAAACATAAAATGTAAAATAAAAATGAATATTTTGAATTTTGGTTTATTTATTCCTCCATATATCTATAGTTGATTGCTATTATATGCCTAATAGATGTTTCTTTACATATCTCTGTAATATCTATACACGTGTTGAAAGTTTATTTATCTCATTATTATTAGATGTCTAAGGGATATTATCAAATATCTATATTAACTCCATGTGATATCTATAATTGATATAGATATTACGCGGACATCTGGATATCCATTACATGTCCATAGGACTGCTACAGCTATCTAATGGATATTATGGATGTCCACAATTGCTCTCTATCTGACATCTAATGGATGGGATTGTGTTATGTGGGAACCGACAGACATAATCGCCATTTTGTTTGATTCGCATTCCTGGTGCTTCCAAAGATTTTCGTAAAAAATGTTGGGTGGTCATTTTTTACCCCAATGCAATACCTCCCTTACTAATGTGTGGTTGGTAAAAATGTAAAACTAAGCTATAGTCCATCTAGGAATAGAAACGAAGAAAAACTCTAGAATCATCAAAGAAGAAGAAGAAGTGCCTTTTTGAAATGGAAGACAAACAATAATTCATGCAACAATGTGTAAGTTGGCATTTTTCATTTTCAATCATACAATATTGTAGGTGTTTGACATAAATGAAACCTAATTCTGATCTCCCCTCACCCATTCGATGGTCTATCAATGTTTGTAATTATTCTGTTTCTATCCTACTACCTTATTTGTTTTGATGTGTTTTACAGAAAACAGATGGACAAACGAACATTAATACTAATTGAAGTCCGTACCAATGTCGCCCAGTATAATCTCCAGCATATTGTCTATAACACGCCAATCCAACCGGTCCAACCAACAGACGATTTTTGGAATCGCTAGTTTTCTGATGCTTTAAATCCTGCAAGGCGATCCGCATAATATCTTTATAACAGGGAAGGTCGCTGAACTTGCCTTTAGTAACGATGTAATAGAGGAATCTTCCATGATCCATCAGATACGTCTTTCCCACTTGTGGACTCTGCAAGTATATTCCCTTTAGGCGATCAAAACGGAGCTTAAACTCAGCAGCAATTCCTCGGGACATCTCCGCGTCTTTTGCAATACAATGACCTAGGGAATATTCAGCGGGAACTTCGAACAAGTCTTGTTGTTCTTCGCGGACAATCCAATTACGAACCTTCCGGCCAGTGGAATATGTGCCATACGTTCTTCAAAAGATGGCTGCACGTGCGATCTTCAGCGATTGATCTCCTTCTGTTTCATTTTGAAAATTCAAGTGAAAAAGAGTCATATTTTCGAGTATAACATCAATATGATTTTATTTTATTTCCCTTATTTATAAATTATATTGCAGGTATAATATTACACGCGTGTAATTGGTCTTTAATAACATTAATAACGATTAATAACAATAATATAATATAATAATATATATTTGTGCTAATATCTAATATAATTAAATTTTAAAGACTTGATTATACACTTGTCTCTTAATATACTATTTTTATAACCACTCAGACCTTTAAAAATGTCATCATGAGCTACAGTTTTGACTCAACAATGCACAAAATTTTGATCTATTCTCAAGTCAAGTATACTAGGTTTATCTATACTTGGATTTTTGTAACATGTCATATTCAAATCCAACAAAACGCGGACAAGAATTTGTGGTATTAAAGTTATGGTAATCACGACAAGAAACGTTATTTAGTCCATAGAACTGCGAAGTGTGTTTGTCTGATGTTAGCATCAATATTTTAATATTGTGTGTCTTTGTCCACAAAATCGCCTTTGCAGAATTTTAATAAACCATTGTAAATTGCAACCTCAGACAACAATTTCGTTTGATGCTTACTCAATCCTTACGATTCGCGCCATAATCGTCCTTAATCTTATCATCAGGGTTGGCGCGATACAATTATAATTTACCTTGATTTGCACAAAAAGAGTCTTGATTACCTATTGATCCCTTGATTAACTTCACATTAGATGCTTTGATTCGCAACCTTAAAATCGGTCAAGCCGAACGAATTTTCATTGAAAGATCCTCCATCGTCGTGTAATTTTGTTAATTTAAACTGCGCAATATTTGGCAATTAATAGAATACTCAAGCGGTAAGTTTTGGCGTGAATGGAGAAGACGAAATTGGACTTATTATGTATGGATTACTATTTTTGTGTATCAAACACATGCTTGTTGTAATTAGGAGGCTATTAGCTTTAATGAGAATCTAAGATGTTTACTAAAGTGGAATGTTAGATTCTTAATCAATTGAATTTATACACGTGTAATTGCGACCGTTTTAATTGATTTTAGTCAATCTACATTTGCATATTTAAATGTTTTAGATGTTTCAGGGATGTCATCACGAATTATTGAAAATTATGTCATCCGTACCGATTGCTTATTTAATCTCTTGCACGGACAAGATAATAACTATGAGATTGCAAATGGGGGCCCACTTTAGGGCTGAAGGGCTGTCTTAACAATGTATTCTTTTACTCCAAACGCCAAGAAGAAAAATGGTACCTAATACGTCAGCTTCATGAGCCGAAAGCAAATTTTTTTCTATAAAAAATTGTACGTATTTCTTTCTTACTGGAACTGCTTTACAGGATTTGTCGAGGGCTATCCACGGTCTTTTCCGAACTCGAGGAGAAATTACGCCCTTGGCACAAATGGGTGACCGAGCCTGAAGCGGTTCTAAAGTTGTGGAAACCAGAATTATTTCTGCTCTCCCCTTTTATGGTGCTCTGCCACCGAAAATTTTGAACTGTGCTTTGTCGAGGATGCCAAAGCTCGAATTTTCTGTAAAATGCAACCCTTGGTCTTACGCTCTGATTTATTTTGCAATTAAACCTTGTTTTAGGAGTTAAAGTGGTCCTCTTAGATTCTCTCTACCCATCTGCCATTTAAATTCATCCTACCTAAAGGGGTAAAATAAGGGCTCCTTTGCGGTTTCTGTATAACCATTGAATACGTAAAACTTCCTTCTTTAAGGAATCGATTCTCCCCTCTGTTCATTTCTGTAAAAGTCTTTGTAGTTGGCGCCTTCTAGAATTTCTTCAATTTCTTCGCAGTGCCTCATCCTCGAGCCACGTTTTGCCTTCCTTATGGTCTTATTGTGTTCGGTGAGTGTACCACCCAGAACAAGAGAGGGGCAATAAATAAATAAATAGATGAACCCCACTCCCCCGCGTTTTTTGTTTTATTAAGGCCCTTTGATGGTCATGCGAAGCTGTTGTTCCATGACCTCCAGTTCCGCCGAGTTATTGTCTCCTGCGAGACAGTTCTCGATTGACCTTTAGGTTCTCTCTATAGAGTCCCCAGTTGGTTCTATACACGGCTACAGCCGAGCCGCTTCGTTTGCTCCGATGTCAAAACGAATAAATTTATGGTCAAATAGCGATGGCTCTTCCATTTGTGTATACTGAGCTGCAGACAGTCACAGTTCCAAATGCTCTGTCAAGTTACTCCCTTCGTCGATTATTTAGGAAGGTTGGGTCATTGTTCGCATTAGCCATTTTTAGATTACTGTTGATAATATGATTTAGGAGATACTCACCTCGTCTGTTGACGTCCTTGCTGCCCCACACAGTTGCCATCCGAGAAGGAGTTTCCATCCTTTTCGTCGATAGTGTTCCACCAGTTTGCTAACTTCCATGCTTGGTGGTGGATGGGGTTGATAATAAGGGACGTATCTGAGCACAAGCCACCTCTTCGTCCCATCCCTTTCCACTGTCAGAATTACTGCCACCATGTCTCTGGAACAGAATTCCCATAATGGTAGTAACTTAACGTTATTCCTAGCTAAGACGCACGAACTGATATTGATCACTAATGAGCCGCGCTCATTACAGTCCAAGACCTCGTATTAGCCCTTTGTAGGTCCAAGGTTCTTGTACCAGGGCTACATCAATGTGATGTTTACTCACTTACCCACATAGCATTCGATATCTTATGTATATACATTTAAAATCCATAATGTACAGGGAATATCCTGTACATCTTATGTACGAGTATATACTATGTATATTTATTATAGACATATGTATTTTATGTCCAGTATGGATATTCTATAGATATACATTTTGGATGTGCTATGTATATACATGGGATTATATGTTATGTATATACGTTCTGGATTTGATACTTGCGTTTTCTGCATTACCGACGTTACAAACGTTAGCGTCTCATTTTCTGTGAATTACGACGATGAAGATAGTAAGGTGCTATTGCAAATACAGTTCATTTATCTAAAATCGGGAGTGTTATTCCGCGAGTTATTAATGAGTTTGTTTGTCTAATTTGGACATTGAAAGTAATGATTTTTATTTCGAGTGTGCATGACCTAACGTTGCAAATATGTGTTAGTGATATGTAAAGACTGAATGGGAATTAATATAAGGACAAGAATGGCAGGTATGTTAGCAACCTATTTGTTATGAACTCTTGCTATTATAGTGTTGAACAAGAACACGATGAAAATGACTCAAGACTCTACAGTGTTAAATAAAACAATAATAATTTCTTAAGCACATTTTCCATTGTATACTAGGAGACTTAATAAACAAAAAGCTCCACTCCGTGAAAAGAATTTATTTATGTAGGTATAGATGCTAGTAAACTTCCCGAATGTTAGAGGAATCTCTATAGAACATCCATTCTGAATGTATACAACATACATAGAATATCCTATTGAACATCTTTTGCATATTACAGGAATATTCATGGTATATCCAGTTGTCAGTATATACATAGCATGTCTGATGTATATACATGCATATACATAAGACATCCAAAACGTATATACTATGTATTATGTGAAGTCTACCAAACTTATATCCCATGCACATACATCGGACATTTGCGACATACTTTTCCACATTCTATGGATATACAATATCCCACGTGGAATGTACATGGTATATGCAATGTATATAGGTCTGCTATGTGGGTATGCACAGAGGG